GTCTAGGATCTCTTAAGTTAAGAGAAAAGTTACGAGAATTTTTAATTCTCTTAACTTTACGAAGTTTCTGGCAACGCTTTAAGAGAAAAACTTAAGTTTAAGGTTAATGTTAAGACTAATTTTTTTCTGGCAACGGGCCCCAGTAAATCAATGATGTTTGACTGGAGTAAGGAGGTCTGCTTAAGAGCGAGAAATTCTGCTTGTGGCGCGATGACACGCTACAGGCACGTAGCTGTTCGCGACACAGAGCCAAAGAGTTAAAGCCGCAATATGCGCATCCAAACGCTAATTTCTCCAGTACTAGACTAGCAAATACTTCGTGTCATGACTAATCATACTACCTTGTGACAAAATAAACTCTAGTTCCTCTCATTTCACTGCGCGTTGTCTTACAAAAGGTATTTGAAAATACCTCCAATGTTGTTCAAATTCTCCGATGTTGTTGACACGTTCGCGTTGCTCTGCCAAGCAACCGTAAAGCAGGTGCAACCCGTAGCAACATGTGACGACACCTAACCGATTCGGGGCTAAATTGTTCGGCAAACAATTCGGCGTTGGCGCCAGATTGCCAGATTTCGCACCTCTTTCTTGTGGGTTTTAAGCAAACGCGCAGTGAAATGTGAGAAACTAGAGTTTATTTTGTCATAAGGTAGTGTGATTATGCATGACACGAAGTATTTGCTAGTCTAGTACTGGAGAAATTAGCGTTTGGACGCGCATATTGCGGCTTTAACCGCTGACGAGACACGCACCTGAAGGTACTGCACCAGAACCTGCTGCTTAGTGACTTCGTTCACGACGGGTTGATTGTCTCCCTCCAACTGCGTCTCCTTCCTCTGTTCCACAGCTTCCTCCACGAGGGACGGCACTAACGACTCTGTGTACAATAGTACAAAACATAGTTAATGTAACGTATATACTATATAGTTTCTGCAGTTTCTCTCGATCATTACCACGCTGCTTGAATTATTAGCTAGTGACTGGTACGAGAGAAAAACATACGGCACGCACTTTGACCAAATTACATTCGGCGGATTATTTGATATGTTTGGATATCGTGATTTTCCATGCAAGATTTAAATGGGTAATATCAGGAGTTAATAAAGACAAATCATTTGTCTTCATTAACTCCTGTTAATATGCATCAGAGTGATGCAGCAGTTCTACTAGTGGACTAACCCCCTACTGTAGCATTTACTGTGAAAGCAGCTGCAGAGCCTCAGGGTTACTGAAACGGAGATAAGCACCGCCTTATGCGCCACATAGGCGCGGGAAGGATTTAACTTTAATGCATCAGAGGGCAAGGTTGATACACCTATGAAACTGCTATGGGAGCTAACCGATAACGACAAAATAAATGCCCTGAACCAGATTCATGTTACGAGCTACGTACACCAGTACAAGATAATGACGTATAGTTCAAAATTGACTTACTAATTATTGCAAGCAATTAATTATAAGCAAAATGTAAGTCACAGAAGGTTGACTATTTCTATTCACGTGTTACCTATGAAGAGGTTGCTGAGCACTGCAGCGTAATTCTCCATGTCCGCTTGCTGCTGACTCACATCGAGTGAAGCTTCGTCGCTGTGGAAAGGTGAGAACACAAGACATCAAGCTTCCATCTATAAGGTTCTGGGTGGATAGTTTACCATTTACATCATAAAACACAACACAAACTTTTCTCTATACACGGAAGGATCTGGGTGCATAGTTTACCATTCACATCATAAAACAAGAACGCAAACATTTCTCTACACATGGAAGGTTCTAGGTGGATAATTAACCATTAACATCATAAAACACGAACACCGGTAAAGGGGACAGATGACTGCACCTTTGCGAATCGGTGTTGCGTGCGCGTTGGAGTCTGGGTGATCCGGGAAAGGCATCCGCGGCTGCCTGCAGAAGCTTGACAGCCTCTTCAAACTTCTCTTCGTTCAAGAGTGAGCAGATTCTTCCGATCACCCTGAAAGAAATGTAGGCGAAGACATGACGAAAACAGATCTCGAGTCGAACACACAGATTGTTAGAATTATGGATGGATAAAACAACAAATATATTGATTATATTAATTTTATATATATGGTAAGGCACCCTTTATGAAGGTGAGGTGAAGTTATAGTTATTTAACAAGTAGTAGTACAAGTATTTTAAAAATATGATATTACACAATTAATTTGAAGTAATTTTATGGGCCTTATTATACTGACAACCTTTAATAAGAGAATAGCTCAGCTAACTCCTTCCTATCGCATTATGAAAAATAATAATAATATTTTGGCTAATAAATCTCTACAGGGGGCAGCACTCACGTGTCTTCTGAATCATCGTCTGCAATCGCAAACTGCGCATCTTGCGGAAGTTCCTGCTCCATGCTATCGTTACACGTCAATACCTGGGCTGCAGCTTCCAGCACCCTCTCTTCCATTGCATTCCAACGTTCCTTTGCTTCGCTAAGCAGTTGGTTCCCTGAAGAAAACAAGGAATTGTTAGCGGTCGCACGAAGAAAGCGCTGTAGGAATCTATTACTAAATAGATCAGAGCACGCACGAAAATTATGATTCAGTGTACCTTCTTTATTTTCTTCTGCATCTGTTTCAGGAAGAATTTCTTTTAGTTTGTTGGTTTCCTTCTTAAGTCTTTCCTCCAATTCGCCCAGAGAAAGCTGTGCAAGATATAGTTACACAAAATCTCTGATATATTATAAAGTTATGTTTACTATTTATTACGACATATATCCAATAAATAACAAGTTTTGTACAATCAAACATCAGCAGTAACACGTCCTTTGTTAAAAAACTGCCAGGCGAAAAATCTGTAACACAGACCCATGGTACAGGATAGCTAGCACTGAATCCTTTTCCGGTTGATGCATTTTATTCATGATTACTCCTTTGATTTTATTCATTCGGTAACAAAGAGCAATTATTCGCACCAGTACGAAACCATTAATCTGGAAATAAAGAAATTATTTAAAAAAATCGACCACGTTGAGCACGCTTATGTTCACCTTTGCCGCGAACGGGTTGCACTTGAGGTAGGCACCCAGTAACTGTATCGCCGCCTTTCTAACGTTGCTAGACTTGTCCTCCAGTCGCCCGCTGACCAATTTCAGAAGTTCGTGTTGCCGCGGCAACGGAATCGCGTTCTCGTTGCAGATTCGCAGCCAGATCTGCAGCACCTTACTCCGCACAAAGGCATTTACGTCGTGAATGTGATCCTGAAGAGAGAGAGAAAGAGAGAGAGAACATTAGTTGGCGAACAAAGGTGAAGCCCTGCATACATGCCTTCCACACAGAAAGATCACAAAAGATGAGTTAAATTAAAACTAGGGAAACCGTAGTGATGTCTGCAGTTTCTCTTCTAGAGAATCTGAATCATGAACGAAATTGCGATAATACATATAATAACAGGTAGTGGTAGAGTTGGTTTACTATGCGCTACAATTACATACATATCCTTGACAGGAACTTGCAATAATTCAGTAGCCAGTTCAAAGTCGTTCTCCGCTCTCTTTCCAAATCCCTCCTCAATCAAGATGTCTATGTTGCTTTTAACTATTTCAACCACAGCCCTGATGTGGAAAACACAAAATCACTCAGAAAACTGAATAAGCAAACTCTTGCATGATATAACGGGATGTATAATGATGATATACGATGTATATATGATACAGTGAAACCCCAATTTAACGCGTATTCGGATAATCCGAATACGCGTTAAATTAGGGCCGGGATATAACGCAATGAGTAATTGGACCTTTTTTTGCTCTTTCCGGAACTGAAGTTTTTTTGTTACCGGTGTTAAGCCGGCATTTTCTTGAACCCCGATTTAGCACGACCCCGCTTTTTTCACAATGACATTTTATGGACCTCAACGATCGTGTTATAACGGGGCCACACTGTATATAATGAATAATAACATTGACTGCAATGCTTTGTCAGACCTAAAATATAGAATTAAAATTAGAATTTAATATCATAACTTACCCTGCAGCCATTGCAAGAAGCTTTAAGGCAGCTTTGCTTTCATCTTGCGTGGTGCCCGGGATTTTCATCGCAAACCTTTCCCATAACATCTGGATGACGGAATTTTCAATCTCTCCATTTTTGACAAAATCTACAATCTGAAAAATAAGAGCAAATAATGATGCCAATTAGCGCATCAGTTCCATAATAGGACCATGCAACTGAGAGAGAGAAAGAGAGAGAGAGAGAGAAGAGAGAGAGAGAGAGAGAAGAGAGAGAGAGAGAGGGAGAGAGGAGAGAGAGAGAGAGAAGAGAGGAGAGAGAGGGGGAGAAGAGAGACAGAGATAGAGAGAGAGAGAGAGAGAGAGAGAGAGA